CCTAAAACACTCTGGTCATTAAATTGACCTAAAAGGAAAAAGAATCTATTTATTTCCTAAGTATGTGTGAGAAATTGTATTGCTACAAATCTAACTTGCACATTTATAAGTCTACCATTTGCCTGTGTATAAAATATTGTTGCCACATTTGATGCTTTTATAATATATCTAGAGATTCTTGATAAAATCCAAATTTTAAAATCCAGTTTCTTGAAATTTAAAAATCCAATTTGAAACATTATTGCCTATAAATATAAGTTATATAACAAATTTTTAGGTTTGCCAATTCAAAGGTGGGCTGGAGACAGGATTCCTAAAAAATCCTGGTCATTAAATTGACTTAAAAAAGAATCTATCTCCTGAGAATGTGTGAGAAATTGTATTGCTATAAACACTTGTTATAGTTGGTACGAGAGAAGAATGCACTTTTTATGGGAAATAAATTCTCAAACTTTTATATATTAAAAACAAGCAGGAAAATCTTCCAGTAATATGTAAAACTAACAATGCAGCCTAATATGATTCTGTTCACTCGTCTACTTAAATATTGGATAAGAGGCTCAGAATTGAAACTGCAATTATTCATGAAATGCTGGAACATAGTGTAATACATAAACTTGAATTGATTCCCATCTCAAGCCAAGTTTCAGATGGCCTGATTAAGAAAGAAGTCTCTTCAAACAAGATTTTCGGTCATACATGCGAACCCCAAAACTCTCTCCCATAATATATATATATTATATATCCCCGTTTATCAAGTGACATTTGAAGACCTAAATTTGAAGCTAATTTGACTACAGTAAATGGATATATAGTTTGGCCAACAGCGTAGCCATGACCAGAAGTAAATATGCTAATTTTAAAAATTGTTTATAATGCATTCCTTTTAAAATTAGCTTCAAAATTAGGTTTTCAAGTCACATGATACGTGAATGGTCTAGGGTGGCAGTACCAACCCTGAATAAAATAGATCCACAGCGACATTTTTCTTGTGGCACAATATGTACCTAATCCAACAAAATTATGAAGATTACCCTGATTATTATGCATAAAAGGCAAAATATTTTATTTATTTTGTAGATTTAGTACATAAAGGTCAAAAGCTGCGTACCCTAAGTAATTACTGACGGCACATGCCTGATATATACATATTTTGATGTGGAAACTGTGATAAATAAACTGTCACTATCATCTACCTGAAAAAGGGAGAGCTGTTCACTATGCTCGTTTACTTGCACTCTTCACCCTTCCAAATTGAAACCTAAATCTGTTGCATACTTGGTAGGGTTTGGTAAAAGGACAAAGGAAATGAGTCCTGAATAAGAAACAACCAAATGACTTAGTGGCCCAAGTCCATCTGCTTTAATTGACAATATGCAAAAAGCTGGTAGCATATTTTCAGGGGGTTTGTTTCAGGGAGTTAGTTGGTATTTACTAGAACCTCCACGAGGGTAGGTGTGGTACAAGGCCGAGTTTAACGTGGGGCATCCAAGCTCTTAGGCTCGGCCAAAAAATCCCCATAGAACCCGCATAAATGGGATCAGGTCTACCAACCCTGAACGAGACTCTGTCCTTCAACATAGCCTCATTTGGGTTCCTCTCTGCTCAGAGGCAGAGAGTCTGACCAGAAAGCCGAAAAAGATTTCGGCTAGTCTCAGGGAGTTAGTTTTGTATGATAGTAATGTTAGTAGCAGGTATATCTACATAGGTTAATTTCATATGTTGATTTTTGTGCTGATATCTAACATCTTACTCATTAAAAGAACTCTTCCCTGGTTGACCTCCATCACTCTCTATCAGTGGCTATACATGGTCATGTGGGGCCAAGGTATCGGGTCAGATTGTTGCATCATCATGCCTTTGATTGCACTCTATTTTGTTACCACTGCCTTGGTGTCCACTCTGTTGCTCTAATTGCTGACCTGTTGCCTAGGAGAGAAGAGACGCAGCCAGCCCATCTACATTTGCCCTTCTCAATTATGTCTTTCACTGCAGTTTTCTGTCAAATCCAGTTATTGCTCTTTCTGTCACATAAGGTGATGCTGAGCATGATTTGCTTCATTTTATGTTGGGCAAGAATCTCTGCAGTTTTAGTGTTGAGCAATCAAGTCTCGCTTCCATGAGTCATCACCGACGGAACATATTCATTAAGCAATTTTCTCATGGTTTGATTGTTGACTTGAGACATCTCATGATGCTAAAAAAATTTTCAAAAAGCCGCCCAGCCAAGAAAAATCCTTCTTTTGACCACCAGACATCAGGCGACATCTCTTGCAATTTTCTTTCTGAGGTACACATAAATGTCTACTTCCTTTATGGTCTTTCCATTTTTAATAACTGGTGATGGTTTAGTATGACTATTAAACATGACCTTGGTTTTCCCACAGTGCAACAACCAGTCATTACTGTCAAACTCTCTGCCTTGAGCAGAGAGGAACCCGGACGAGGCTTTGCCGAAGGGTAAAATTTCGTCTGGGGAGGTAGACAGGCCCTGAACCTGTTTATATGGGTTCGAAAAGAAATATTTTTGGCCAAGCCTATGGGCTCAGAGAACCCATGGTAAACACGGCTTTGTGCCACATACGACCCATGTGGGGGCCATTAAATATAACAGTGTAGGTTACGATCTATTGGTTGGCTCTATCCTTGGCTAACAAATATTGTTGACTTACCCTGTCCCACTTATTTTTAATCATATCACCCTATACAAGGCAATAAAGCCACTAAGATACAAAGGATTACTGAGTGTGAAATAATAAGAAAAAAGAGAAACATTATTAAGGAATGAGAACAATAAAAGAGGAATCAAGAAGATGGTAGATAATGATTGACATTGCATTTAAATATCTGAAGATCAAAGTTGGCTGGAAAGCAAGAATCCAGACAAGAGTTCCACATGCAAGAAAAGAAACTGTTAGCATAGAAATTATGGTTACATTTAGCCATTTCAACTTTAAAATGATGAGACCTTGTTGCCAATCTAGTATTGTGCTTAAATTCACAAACTCTAGGTACCACAGCAAAGAGATCATCTGAACAATTATCATGAAAGTTGTTATATTCCAGGCTAATAGGAATATATACTTGAAAAACAAGCTGGATAAAATAAGTTGTAAAAACCAGTACAATACAAATAGAGGTAACAGTTATGCACAATGTCATCACTAGTCAATCCAGTAGTGAGTGCTACTATTGGAAGGTCAGTATTTCTCGTGTAAGTCTGAGTCGTACTCGACAGATCCCAGCTAGTCTCAGTAGTCTGTTGACTTACAGCTACTTATAGGCAGTTTCTACCTATAGTGTAGTCACTCATGGGGGTGACAGGTTATTCCATTACATCAAAAGTATTTATAGAAAAGGTACAGGGAAGCTACATTATGGCAGTGGCAAAGTGACTGAAGCTGAGATGCCAGGTCAGGACCAATAACATTGTTGATTCTTCTTTGGATTTTATCAAGGATCTCTATATATGTAGCAGGAGCACTGGACCATATGTGGCAGCAATTAAAAGCATGGCTGAATAGTAGACTTATAAATATGTAAGATAGATTCTGGAGAGAAAAATTAGCAGCAGACTTAACAATGGATTCAATATAATCTTTGCACTTCATATCAGCTGAGAATGTTAGTCCAAGTATCCGCAACAAGTCGCTCTCCTGAAAGTTAACCATGCTGGAAAGTGTCTTTCAGGTGATTGATAGAGGGAAATTTTGTTTTTTAAAATTAACAATCCATTCTTTGCCCCAATTAACAATCACTTTTTAGATCAGCTACCAATTTGACCATACTGAACTGATCAGACTTACTATCAAGACAGGAGTAAATATTTCTGTCATCAGCAGAGATATCTAGTTGAGAACTGATGCCATTCATGAAAATTATGAACAAAATAGGTTCATTGACAGTGCCGTGGGGGTGGGGGACACCGGCCTTACTATAAGATCTAGAAGAGTTGCCATTCAGGATGACGTTCATTTTGCAATTTAATAAAGACTGAATTTTGTTTAGTGGGTAAAAAGGTTTTACCTCTTGATTCTATGCTGGTCAATTTTAGAGCATATTGCCCAATTTAAAGGTCAAAGAAACCCAAGAGGAGAAAGATGATATCCTCAATGCTGGGGTATAACATCAAACAACAAAATTCTAATCAAATGTTTGGTGTTTATCTACAGAAAGGTATACTTTATAAACTTTTGTTACTACAGCGTGCCCCACAAAAAACAGGAAATTTTAGATTTACAGCATGATGAAAAAAATCATAATACCTCATCTCAGATGATCAATTACACACACACTACCTCCCATATTTATATTAGTTAATACAATCATAAATTTTTTAACCATTTGTCATTCCAGAATCAAATTTTTAACGTGACATGATTGTTCTCTTTAAGAAAGAGAGAACATCCAACTTGGATATATCTCTGAGATGAGGTATTATGATTACTTACATTATGTTATTGCCATGTTATCCTCATCTTCATTGCCATATGCAGTGGATAAAGGTGTTGGTTAGATCCAGTGTCTAGACCCAAAGTGTTGTGAGTTCAATAACTGACTACAGCAGTGGTGAACCAAAACTTGGAGTGTTGGGTTAAAGGGAAATAACTGAGACATACAGAAGAGGCATGGCACATGGAACTAGAACAATCTACCCCAGTGGACAAAATAAAGGACTCAGTTTGAAATTCCAATCAACTGAAGAAGGCCGGAGTGTGCAACAGTGAAAACATTATGAATATGTTAATGAAGCTGCGTTCAATAATTTAAATAATGTAAGTAATCCAACTTGGGGACTGAAAAATGCCAAAACATTTTGCCTGGGTTCTTTAGCTTGAACACCACATCTGTGTTTGTGTTCTGTTTCAAGCGACTAAATTTCTATCGTTCGCTATTGTTTCAAATAACTGTGACAAAAATTCCAACAATTAAGTAAACTGTGCCAAATTTCCTGTTCTTTTGTGGAGCACCTTGTAGTAGAAAAACTGTAATTAACTTACCTGGAATGATAGTTTGACCACTGTCCACTCAGATGGCCACATGGTATTTAGAAAAAGTGTAAAACATATACAGGTTATTAGAGTGATTATTATCACAACTGTATGAATAGGATGGATATAAATCTGGTGGCCGACGTATATATGACATATTGATAAGCCCTGTAAGTAGAAAGACAAAATAACTGAATTAATAAATTTGCATATTGTCCATATTGATTAGTGCACTTTAAGAAAAAAAATGAAAAGAAAATACACAATGGTTGACAGTATCTGTCTATATTTCTGAGATGAGGTATTATGTACATTATTTACATTATTCGAACTATTGTCCACATCTTTGTCGCCATATTTATTACAAGGTTTCAGCCGTTGTACGCTCCGGCCTTCTCCAGGTGGTTGGAGTGCCGAACTGAACCCTTTATTTTACTCACTGGGGTAGACTGTTCTAGTTCCACGTGCCATGTTTAATAGATGTCAGTTATCAGTTATCTCCTGTTAATTTCCCTCTGAAAGTTCTCCACTGCCTTAATTGGGTATTGAACTCACACTCTTTGGGTCTTGTCACTGAATCTAACCAACACCTTTATCCACTGTGCCATGCGTCCTTGAGGAACAGTCTACCCCAGTGAGTGAAATAAAGGGTTCAGTTTGACATTTCAACCATCTGAAGAAGGCCAGAGTGTACAACAGCCTAAACATAATAAATATGGCGACAAAGATTAGGACAATAGTCCGAATAATGTAAATAATGTTTGACAGTATTCAACAATATTTTGACAGTATGTCTGTCTACTGCGAGTTATGTTTAAAAATTGTTTTATCATTAATGAATCTATATATACCTGATAAAGGCCAGAAGTCACAATGGCCAAATCGTTATGATAACAACAACAAAGATGAATACAATAGGGTGAATATAAATAGTATAAATATTGGTGATATAGTGGTTGTGAGTTCAATCCCTAGGTTGGGCAGTGTGTTTAAAAAAACTGTTTTATCATTAATGGATCGATAAACACCTGATGAAGGCTGGAGGGCACAATGGTCGAAACGTTGTGATAACAGCAAAGATGAGGACAAGATTTACACTATTTATATTCAGACTATTGTCTTTATCTTTGTTGTTGTTATCACAACAACAAAAATGAATACAATAGGGTGAATGTAAATAGTGTAAATATTGATGACATATTGATTGTGAGTTCAATCCCTGGGTTGGGCAGGTAGTGGAAATGGGTGAGCAATAACTAAGCAGTACTAAATACGATAAGAACTAAACAAGATAAACCTAGGCATAACCTATGGAACGAAAAGAGTTTTAAAAAAAAAAAGTTTCAGTTGGTTGCGAAGCTTTGGCCACGGGCTGCAATAATTAAGGCTTCTGTCTCAGTTTTCAGCATCGTACTTCTCAACTTCCTGGATATTTGGTGAATCATTTATGTCTATTTTATTTTTTCCCACTTCTCATAATAGTTTCTTGGCGTATTCTTTGAAGATCTTGTTTTGCCAGAAGAATTTGTTTCATTTTTCATAACGCCTGATTCTCTGTGCTTTCACTCAAAATTGTTGCTTTAGCTTCTCCTGAACTTTTGGTACATCAGTCTTATTCTTTATGCCAAGTCTTCATTTCTGTTATCTCCTTTTTTTTTCTTTCATTTTTGGAGCCTTTGTCTACTTCCCTTAGATTATTATTATTATCATTGTTTTATTATTATTATTCAAAATTTTTTCTTAATGTCCTGCTTTATAGACTCATAAAGCTGTGTCCATCCCTTGGGCATTGGGGTACTGTGAGGGTGTGATAGAATTATTTGAGGGATAGTGTCCTCCTCAGGATTTGAGCATTGTCGAGGAGTAGGATCTTCTGGACTTCTTGTATCTTGATGGCGTCAGGGGTTTTGTAAGTGCATTTTTTCTGTCTGTTTGCTTGACCAGTCCAAGAGCACCTATGACTACTCTTAGATCTTTTTAGCCAGGTGAGGATAGTTATATGTCAGCATTTTAAATGTGAATTAGAGACAGAGCATATTCTTCAGTACATGAACTGTTCCAAGCAGTGATGCCACCTGTGCACTACCAATATTATTATTATTATTATTATTTCATTTGATTTCTGTTAAATACACATTTACTTCTGTTCCCCAACCAGAGATCTAAGGTCAGAAATGGCTTCATATTTTCCACTGATTATTTTTATAAAAAAAAAAACAAAAAAACTAAGATCACACACATTATACATAATTAAAAGTTCTTCGTAATGTATGAGCAGTAATTGTGAGTACAATTTTTTATATTTCTTTAAGGCATAGTCTACCTTCAATCAGTTCATCAGAAATGTTTCCAATCAATTATCATTATTATTAGTAGTAGTAGTAGTAGTGTTAGTATTAGTATTTTTATTATTAGTAGTAGTAGTAGTATTAGTATTTTTATTTTCTACCAAGGTAGATAAATCTTCAATGAGTCTGTTGGAACCTTTTCCAATCAATTATCATCATTATTATTATTAGTAGTAATAGTATTTTTATTATTATTAGTAGTATTTTTATTATTATTATTATTATTATTATTATTTATTATTATCATTTTACTATTATTGTTATTACTATTATATATTATTTTTATTATTACATACTATTATTATTATTATTATTATCATTTTTATATCAATAATATTGCTACCTAATATAATAATATGGTTCATGTTGTGTATGATACACCTAATTTACATAAGTGGAGTACCGACCATATAAATATGGGTTGGTACCGAAGACGACGGAAGATTAAGAGATCGAATCCAGAGACTCTGCCCGATCAAGACTTAGTCAACCCATTCTGCAGGAACAGTCTTCCCAAGAATATACCAAAACTACCTGTAAATATTGTGTACCTTTTTTCATTGTTTCAATACATTTTGTTACGTACATTTTGTGTTGTATTATTATTATTCCATGCTTATTCAAGCTTCAACAGTTCATCATCTAATATAATATATAATATTATATACATAATATTATATTAAGTTTGTCATCTAATATGATATATAATATTATATATAAAATATTATTATATTAGGTTCTTCACCTAATATAATGATATGGTTGGTGATCTTCTCATACAGTTATCAACAAACAAATGTAAACATTTTCTTTTTTTTATAACTATCACATTTTATATGTTTGTAATTATTATAATTTAACTTACATAAAATGTCTTTTAAACTATCTTTCCTTATATTTGATTATTGTATTGGTTTGTATATAGGTTACATTACCGCACGATTCACACTGATTCCAGACTTTTGAACAGGAGCAGCAGTTTATCCCTTGCTTCCTATTTAGGAGAGGATTTCTGGTCCCTTCTGAAGTCTTTTTAACTATCTTACATCCAGTAACCCCTTGCATCTTAGTGCCATTATTGCTTTCCTTGGGGTGAATTGATAAAAAAACACCAAAGCTCATAGTATTTTATAAGTAAATTTCAAAGACTATGTTTAGATATCTGTAAATAGATTTATTCGACTATACATATGCCATCATACTCCACCAGCCATTTCAATTTTTGAATCAGCTTCATGATTCCATCCTCCCAGAACTTTCTAGGGGAGGAAATGGTCTAAGTTCATTTTTTGAAGAAGGAATTTTTAAAACAAAGCTTAGTATAATCTGTTAGTATTATTACCCTTTATTCCTGACCACTGACAATCCCTTTCTTCCTCATTTTCAATGCATTCCTATAGTAAAATCATTAGCAATGCATTTCCATTATACATATAATAGCCATATTCTATCTGTAATGCTTGCCTTCATTGCTGACCACTGACAATCCCTTTCTTCCTCATTTTCAATGCATTCCTATAGTAAAATGATTAGCAATGTATTTACCCTTTTCCCTAATAGAGTTGCCAGATTGAGCTAACAAGTAATGAATAAGGTTACTTTAAAACCCAGTGTTATAAAATTTTGAATTGCCTTTTTTCTTATAAATGTTCCAAGATCACATAACCGATTCTTAAATATGACCCTCAAAGTCACAGGAGTCAAAGATCAAAATTTTCAAACAAAGAATATGGGTGTATAAGAAAAGGGGGATGAATTATATATTACAGCAAAGTTTTAAACAGATCCTCCATTACTTGACCAGAGTCGATTTTCTACATTTAGTAAGAGGGAAACTTTGTATCATAACCTACTTATAAACCGATCCCCCACTTCTTCGTCATAATTTTAAAAAGAAAACATTACAGGAAAGATATACTCATGATGATCAATCAGTATGGTTGTTAAGTCATAAAAGTTCCCCCCCCACGAAACTAATTCATTGAAAACAAAACAATCTGGCCATTGTAAAGGGAGAAGATAACCTTATTCCACACCCAAACTCAAAGATTTCCTGTCCATGTATTTAAAGGTTCGTGAGTAACCTATCTCCCACACAGATATCAAGTTACATTCATGTAGATTAATTCAGACACAGATAATTGCAGGCACGTAAGCAGGCACTTGGATATGACATCCTGCAAAAAATTATTTCAATCCAAATTTATACTAAAGTCATAAAGTATTATACCTAATACAAAGAAAAAAAATCCGAGACAGACAAAAGAACTGCATCTAAATGAGGTTAAGATTTGTCTGTACAGAAAATCGACAAATGGACAATTTTTAGCTTCACTGAATGCATCAGGGTAATTCTGATGTCTTGACTTTAACAGGTTTTTAGCCATGAGTCATTCTAAGAACGAGCATGGTAGATTCAAATTAAAATAGCAAATGTATTTTTTCTAGGATCCATGACTGATATTCTTAGTTGAGTTTCTGATGTAATAAAAATAATCTGTCACCCTCATGAGCAACTAAACTATAGGTAGTAACTGCCTATAAGTAGCTGTAAGTCAACGAACTACAGTCTAGCTGGAATCTGTTGAGTACGACTCAGACTTATGTAAGAACTACCAACCTTCCAATAGTAGCACTCACTACTGGATTGACTTGCGATGACCTTGTGAATAACTGTTACCTTTATTCTTATTGTACTGGTTTTTTACAATAAACGTTATTTTATCCAGCTTGTTTTTCAAGTATATATTCCTATTAGCCTGGAATATAACAACTTTCATGATAATTGTTCAGATGATCTCTTTGCTGTGGTACCTAGAG